AAGCGTTTTTGATTGCCGGTTTTAAGTACAATGTTTCTTGCCAAGAATCCACAAAGACGCCTTCCTTGTTTTAAGAATACCAAAATTCTTAGTTAGAATACAAGCTAGAACATTTACTTGTTTTAAGAAACGGTTATTCTTGCTTAAAAAAAGTTTACTTATTCAAGTAAAATTCATTCTTGATAAGAATAATTTATCCCCTTTTACTTATTTTGAGCAAAATTTTGCTTAAAATAAGAATTTCTCAAGAACATTATTCTAGGTAAGAATTCTCGATTTCGCTGTGCATGTGCATGATTATATAAATACTGTATAACTGTTTGCCTCAGTGAAATTGAAAATTATTGCCGTGTGTGATCACTGATCAGTGTGATTGGGCGCAACCAGTATATCAACAAAACAACGTTTGCATAATTATAAATTAGACGAAACGGTAATTTTCGTAGTTCGGTTACTCTTTGCAATTAGAGTCAAATTGACTCCTTCGAAGAGTAACATTACCTTTTGGTAGAGTAACAAGACTCTATTGTAGAGTCGTTTTGACCCCAGTCGAAACTACCCTTAGAGTTGAAACAACTATATATATATATATATATATATATATATATATATAATATATATATACACACATTTGCAAAAACGTTTGCCGCAGATAGATAGATAGATAGATATTCGAAGTCTAATTAGAATTGCAAATGATTACATTTGCATGGGATTTCAATCATATTACACAACATATGCAATTCTAATTAGATTTCAGGTATCTATCTATATATCTATCTGCGGCCAACGTTTTTGCAAACGGGTGTATATATATATATATAATATTATATAATATATAATATATATATATAATATAATATATATATATATATATATATATAATATATATATTATATATATATATATATATTATATATATATATATATATATATATATAATATATATATATATATATATATATAAATATATATATATATATATAATATATATAATATATAATTATATATATATAATATATATATATATATATATACAGACTGTATTGAACAACTTTTGGTAAACAAACTTATGCGTATTTTGGTAAACAAACCCGCATTCGATAAACATTGCTAGAGACCAGACTGAAGTGCATCGACGCTGTTCTCGACATACTGGGTGGTATGTTGCACCATCGAATTGATAATCGTTTGGGGTACCTTGCTTTCCTCTTTGACCTCGCAGACAAAGACGAAAAAAATCATCGTCATCGTTTTTACCATTATAAACGTCAAGTTCATCTCACTCGTTGTTGGCACGTGGATCTCGTTCAACAACTTCCTCTGCTTGAAGTACTTGACTATGCTTGTTGACAAAATGGTTTCGCAGAGAGAAATAGTTCGTGTACGTACGTGGACATTCATTAATGCCACATAGCGCATGGAAATCCCGATCACTCTTGTGAACCCGACCGAGATGATTGATCAACGAGCGAAGAGTTTGACATGTAAAGTTAATGCATAGGTTACAGTGATAGTGCATTCCGGACATCGTCGAAGCTATAGGAGTAATATTGGAGACGTATTTCAGTTCATGTACTACTCTACTTCAACTAACTGTGGGACTTGTTGACCTTAGATGTTCCCACATATATCTGCAGTAAGAACTTTGGGTGCAAAACACTGAGCTATATTAAACTCCTGGAGGACTGGTTCGTCATTTTTCGGTAACTTTGCCGCCATCTTTTTGAAGCAAAAAACATGGCGGACTTCACCTTTTGCGCAGTGCGCAGTGTTCCTCTGTGCTCATACCGTGTACTTGGTCGAGATGATTTGCTAACCTTGCTAAATTTATACTACCACAGCCAAATACAGGACAGTTCCTACGCGTGCGACGCATATTAAGATGATTGCTCAACAAATTCCTAATAATAATTGGCTCATTTTTTCGTGGGTCAGGTATTTTATTAGCCCCGTATTAGCCCCGGAAAGTCCGGGCTTGTCAACGCAAACTCTTGCTTTAGGAAGACAAACTCAAACGATCTAAACAAGAAACAGTGTAGTGCCCGGACAATATGTTTAAAATATTTTTAAAATTGTTCTACTTTATATTGTTACAAGCGTTAATCCGTGTCTTAATTTATGCTCCAAGCATCGCGTTGTCCATAACACCAATATATATTTCCCTCTAAAAATGCATACAATTGCATTCGCCATACCCCTTTTCCTCCCTTTTGAGGAGCTTGGGCCTGAAATATCTCATTGAGCAGATGAGCATCTTTTCATGAACATTTTTGAGCATATGCTCATAGGCCCGTTTGGGCCCTATGTGGCCTTATATGGCACTATTAGGCCCGATGGCCCGATTGCTGACTGCGCGTCCTAACCCGCGATTATGGAAAAATATTCCATTAAATATCTATGAGAGCAAGTAAAACAGGAAATCCAGGGAGAACAAGCCAACAGTGTACTAGCCAGTGTACTAGCTCGTTTTTACTCAAACAAGCCACCTATGCGAAACAAGAAATACGGTTACCATATGAACGTCAAAGAATCGCGCGAGTATAGGCGAACATTTGTGTTAAATAACTGTTGACATCACATATGTAAAGACTACATTAACATATGTGACCTTCCACGGGAAAACATACGTTTACGCTATTTCGTTCGTTCAAAATATCGTTCGTTATCCGTTCGTTTGCCGTTCAAACGCTTCAAGCGTTCGTTGAAACGATTTTCAAGATCGTTCATCGTTCGAAATTGCCCGTTCGAACGCTTAGGAAAAATCGTTCGAAAATTGGTCCAAAAGCGTTCAACGGTTTGATTTACCGTTCGTTGAAACGTTTGCCGGAATTTCGTTCAATCGCATTGGATTTGGTTCAACATTCGATTAAACATTTGCAATGTTACAACTTTAGAGAAAAAGCGCAGAATGAGTTACACAGAAATACTCCCAGAAATGTATTCAGTTCCTTAGTAGAAGGCTTGTAAAGGAAATAGTAGGGTTATATCATTTTAGCCTAATCGAATGCTTTTTTGCGCTTCATGTTCTGGTTTATGCTTAGCGTGCTCTTATTTCATTAGCAACAAATTTCACGTTAAAGCTTTCTTTTAAAATTTTATCGTTTTTGTGCTTCGGTAATGCACTGAATGGTTAGAATTTGTGTTTTAATATACTTCTGTAGCTTCCATAAAGCCAAAGTTCACCGCGCGCACAAACAACGTCGCAAGCCATATATTACAGCATTACGAGCCATAATATGCCTTGGCAAGGTGCTAATTAAGTTGCATAATTGTCGGAAGTCTGTAATGTATGTAAACAGACAAAACCAGATTTTAAAATCAGTAAATTGAGGGATTTTGCGTGTTACATATTATCGCATTTGTAAATTTATTTACAAAGTGCGATAAATTTAAGCTAATTTATTTACATCTGATAATCTGATAGCAGGGCCTCCGTCCGAAGCAGCTACTGATTAAAATGTATTCAAAATAAAGGACCGCATCCTAGGACGAGAATGCGGTTCAGCATTTCAGCTCGTTGTCTTTAATGCAGTCTGACATGCAAATTATATACAACAATTGAAATACCCTAGCTAATATTTGAAGACATAAATACAGTGACCTAACGCGCGTTCGGTAGGGTTAGGACGAGAACTAAAATAAGGTTCCCCAGTTATTGGGGGCCAGAATAGATAACGAAACATCATAGTATATGAGCAAAACGTGATCAATGACAAACAGCGAATTAAGGGACCCGGCAGTACCAAGTATATATATCACTCTAAATTTCGAAGTGTCCGACAAACACCAAATAAGTGTAAATACACACAATTTTGGTGTAAATCAGTATGTTACATCCACAAAGTGCAAATTTACCCTTCGAGGTGTATTATTACACCAATATTGTGTTTCCTCAACACCGATTAAGTGTATAGCTAAAGTTTACCTTCTTTGGCGTAAATTTACGCCAAAAGTCGGTAAATAAACACCGTTCTTGTGTAATAAAGCACCACTTTGGTGTAAACATTATCGCTATAATTTTGTGTTGAGTGAGAGCTTGGGCGTGCATGCATTGGAAGCTTTTGTCGGAAAAAAATTGCAAATGGATTATCATTTTTTATATTCCTAAATAACTGGGCAAAGAGTCCCAAGTCAGGAGCAAAAAGCAATTGTTTTCTTAAAATAAGCAAAGCTAATTCCAAAGTCTTGGAAAAATGATTTGTTCTTTGTTTATATCTTTCTTTTCATATTCAGAAGAGATGACGGTTTGATGCAAACGCGACGGTTTTGACGGTTTTATTTCAACATTCTGAATAAATCCCGTAACGCCGTAACTCGCGCAGAGAAATGTTGATAGGATTGCACCACGCTCTCGATGCATGCCGGGATAGCGTCGCTTCGCAGTTCGCACGACGCACGTTGTTGTTTGTTCCTTTGCAAAGTATAAATCGAGAAGTATTTTGAATGTATATTAAATTTTACTGGACATTATGATACAAGATTGCCTGGAGAAGATCGAGGATATTGTTTTAAAAGTGACTGGGAATCTCAGTCATCTCAGAGGTAAGGTTTTAAAATTATACGCGCAAACAGACGAAAGCTATATATTTTGAATTTCGAATTTGCCGCGTAAACAGTGTACGTATTTAACAGAAATATTCACAGTTTTGCTACTCATTCCCACCAAAAAAAATGAATGATTTATAGAAATATGTTATGCCGTGGTTATACTATAGGTACTATGCCATATTAAGTGTGATATTGATGTAATGATGTTGGCTAAACCATGGTCAAATACATGAATTTATGTTATATATTAAAATATGAACATGAAACTGATTGAAACATCTGCCATAACAGACTTACTCAATCTTAGGATTATGATGTACGGAATCTTAGGATCTACATTAATTTTGATTAAGAATTTGAATGACATAGCTGTTATATTGCCTTTTAAATAATTTTTATATGCATCCTTTATTAGATGGTGGATTAACAAGTGCCAAGTGGTGATTGTTTATAAGTCTAAGTCATCTAAGTCTGTAATGAACGAGCAGGAAAGTATGGTAAGTAATGCATTATAAGGAATTGTGCAATGCTGTTGGAATATTCACCAACCATATGGCTCAGTTTTAATTGTATAATAATATAATAATAGCACCAATATGATATATGCCTAAAATACCTGTGTTGTATTTGTATTTTTAAGGTGCCAAGGTCTTTCATTTGATGAAAAATATCAACTTGATATTAGTTCAGTGAAACAAGAAAAGAAGCCATTTGACTTGGTTTAAGGAAATAAGGTAAGGAAAAGATCAGTTCAATGTTCATGTGTCATACAAATTGCAAATTCATTGTGTATTAATTTCACCTCCATTATTTGCTTCTTATTTATAAACAATTGGTTATATAGCTAGTTATCATGTAATAGATATATCAAAAATCATTGACAGCTTACCAGATGAACATTTGCTATCTAAATTTTCTAATATGCTTGCTTTTTTGTTTTTTTTTAGGAACATGGATTAATTGAGGTAGTACTAGTGTGCAAGAAACTCAGTGGATGAGTGGAAAGTCTCCTCTGTTAATGGTTAATTGGATTCACAGTGTTGCAGAACTTAATTTTCCAGGACAAAAATACTCCAGGTGATCTTATAAATATGCTCATATTTGGGAGGACATATACCAACTTTACAAACAACTAGTCAGTAATCAAAGAGGAACATTGCTCAGGAGTTAATTACTTTAGCTTACGGTATGTGTTAATAACAATAATTGAAGACATGCAGTGAGTTTGCATAGTTCTAGATGCACTTGTCTTCTTTCATAAATATCTTTATTCAATTACCTCTGGGTTCATTATACAGGGGCTTAATTTCAATAATTTGAGTTGTTTCAGCTAGTTTCCTAAACTTGCCAATTGGCAATTTTTAATTAAGTCCTTGAAATACTTGTTTTTTTGAGCAAGGTATGCACAAACCTAGCAGTACTTTGAACTATTTCTACATGTAAATATTTAGAATTTATTCATTCATTCATATGGGCACTAAGTAAATAGTTTTAATATTTTGGACTGATAAGGAATAAGAATAATGTATAATTTTGCCTATGTGATATTTCAAAGCCTACTAATAACTTAATTTCATTGCTAGAAATGAAAGAAATGTATAAGTAGGTTAGAGGGCATATTTGTCCATTCAATTTTGTAATTTTTTATGCTTTATTATGTTCCTGCTTATTGTGCTCATAGGTTTTTAAACAAATACATAATTTATTTATCTTTAATAAAATTGTTTGTTCAATATAGAAGTTCACGTCTGTTCATCATGTAACGATCATTACATCAGTGAATGCAGTGGTTATCAAATACACCTTATGGTGTATATTGACCCCATAAAGTATAAATATACACTTTTCAAATATACACTTATAGTGTTCCCCCCAACTTGGTGTATAAATACACTCATGGTGTATATTGATACTGTAAAGTGTAAATATACTCCTTACAGTGTAACTATACACTATTCGGTGTACATACAGAGGCAAGAGCATTTACACCAAAATTGGTGTAAATATACCCGGTTGAGTGTATATTGACCTTTAAGAAGGTGTATAATTGCACCTCTTTGGGTGTTTGCAGGGAGGCAGGAATTTACATCTTTTTTGGTGTTTGTACAACACTTGGAGATTTAGAGTGTATCTCAAGACCCCATCCTCTGTTCGTTATGCCACTGCATGAATATCCAAGCAATTTAAATATGACGCGTGCATCTAGTCTAAAACTGGAGCAGTGCCCCGCTTGCAAAATTGTCTTATTTCCTTAAAAGGGTATATTTGTCTCACCAGATCTAAGCCATCTGGCTCGATTGTTGCTGGCATGTTGAAAGGTATCAATTGGCATAAATATAACTTATGGCATAAATATAACTCATGCATTGTAAATGTTTATTTAGACTCTTAATTCACAAAAAAATTACTTCATATATGTTGATATATATATGCACATTTCAGCACAATTCACTCCCCATGCATGTAGCTATATTTTGGTTGTGATTTGATTTCTCTCGACTAGCTCCTCGAATCGGAAACGTGGAACGCGGAAAAGTCTCAAATCGTACAAATCGTAGAGACTGTATGAAAGTAATGAAGCTATATCAATGATGTTCATTGTGTGACATTGTTTATTACAATAAAAAAACAAGAGTGTCGTACAATGAACATCATAATATTGCTCCGGGAAATTTAGCCTATAGGCTTTGATAATGCACAAAATATCATCTGGTCAACATAATTAGAGCTGTGGCCCGTGTGAAAAATATAACAAAACAGAAATTATGATTTATATTATACCATTTAAGTTTTGTTGATATTAAACTACCATAAACCATCAAAGACGCCGTCTACAAATTCCGTGTTTTGTGAGATTGAGTTTAGCGCTATGTTTTAACCAAGTGCGTGCAGCCTTGCGCACAACTGGCCCAAGCCCAAGGGCAAGTTGCCAAGCTAACGTGTACAAACATTTAAGTTTGACCTTTCGGATATTTCGCTTATTATATTTCGCCATACTTCATCAGAAAACGAACATTAGAATTTATCTTGCTTGGACAACATATCAGCTGCTTGGGCAACAAGAAAATATTCACTAATTTTTAATTTGGGCTCCTTTATTAGGAAATTACATTCCGGATATTAAATTGCAATTATGCATGGTCATTGCACCTTGAAGCCTGCCAGCTAGAGCGGCAAAATGAACAAATTTGAAATGGCGCCTATCAACTGTTTATGCGTATATGAGCGCGCGGGTAAAGACCTTTACCAGTAATTTCGCGAAGACTAAAATATTTGCTGGATATTAACATCTATATGGAGAAGTCAAGGCGTTTTACCCCTGCATATAAAGGTATGAGACTATACGAAACATTAGCTATTATATAAGGCAAGTCATGACTGGGCATACTTTATTAGGCGCGCTTGCAATTATTTCCCTCCCAGCATTGAAATCAGGCTTATCGATGAAATCATCAACAGAATTCGTATTACGGTTGGCTCGATTTAAAGTTTTTTTTCCTTGAGTGTGTTTGCCTGGCTAAACTGTAGCTCTCTATTGATCCATGCATATATCGAAATATGACACGCATTCGAAGTAAGATTTCATATAGATGATCATGCAATTGTATATAACAAGACGTTCTCAATTGCATTTTATGTATATATGCTAACGCGAGTAAAATGGAGTCGGATATAAATGCGCACTGCAATATAATCCTTTAGATTACTTGCCATGGCCGGTGGAATCGAGTTGGGCCACGATCATCCAATCATTCCGAATAAACATGACATGAAAGGTTGCCAGACCTTTAAAATGGCTTGGCTGAGGTTAGAGTAGTTGTTAGCTTGGTGGTTACAATTTAATAGGATGCATTTACTCACATTGAAACAACAATTGTTTGCAAACTTTTCTGACATTTGTCAAAAAATATGTGGGTAGATGCTACCTTGAAATATATACCTAATTATATGATATAAAAAGTTTTCGCAAGACAAAATGGATTGATGCTTTGATGCATGCCTTAATCATCTGTCTGGGGAAATCTTGATTAGTTAATTTTATTGTAAGCAGGCGGCACAAATTGTGTCACAAGTAGATGTCTCGAAGATGTTAAGGATCGGGTGTTTCTTAAAATGGTGAGTATAAACTCCCCTGTGCATGCATTTGGCATTGTCGTTTCTATATGGGCGGCAGCATTGCTATAAGCTTTGCAGAAAAAAATTATTTGCACACTTTGTGATTTAAAAACTCGGTTTCTTTATGGGCCGTGTGCTATTGCTATATGCTTTAGTAAAAATAATGTGCACTTTTGTCTTGCTGCCGGGGTTGAGTATTAAGTTGCTTTGCAGGGCGGATTTTCGGACCTTTAGGATTGCGGATTGCCGCGGTCGTTTGAAATGAAGATTTCGAAAATTATCCCACTAATTTATGCGTTCTATTTCTTTAGGTCACTATTGTTAGGCTCATGCAGTTAGCTTAGGCATTTTTACACAGTTAACTATGTAGATGGTCTAATATATGGGGGAATGAATATAGTGACCACCAATAATTTAGTTAGATCACAAGTATTAATTAGCGACTTGTTATACTGGTTAAAAATCATAACACATGCATATGTGATCGTATGGTCACAAAATATGTAACTAATATGGCGGCAGAAATAGCGACATTGCAGCAGGCAATCGACAAAATAGATTATTGTCAAATTTTAAAATATTCTTAAGGTAATGATGCCCTTAGTTGCTAGTGACTTGCTACTGACAGTACTGTGTATAGGCGACATTCCGCGACAAGCTTGACCGCGGCTAAAGCTAGGCTACTGCACTGTTATTTTCAGGGAGTTATTTTAACTCCCCTATTATCCTTTTTTGGTGGAGTTAAAAATTTAACTCTAGGTTTGGAGTAAGAATAACTCTCTTTGAGGAGTTAATAATTTTTAGAACTTATTAACTATGCAGAATTAACTCCTTTTGGGGGAGTTAAGCAATCTAACTCTTTTTATGAGTTATTTTGACTCACCTATTATCCTTTTTTGGGGGTAGTTAAAATTTTGACTATTTTTCGGAGTTAAAATAACTCTCTTCGAAATATGCAGAATTAACTCCTTTTGTGGTTAAGAAATTCAACTCTCTTTTTGGAGTTAAATAAAATTCAAAATGGCGTGCGCAAGAGGAGCGGGTTAATAATTTATTGTAATTTTTTGTTATTATAAACATGAATGATTTAATTCTGGAGTGAAAAACACGGAGAAGGCAAGTAAAGTTACGAATGTTTGTGCCACTAATATTATTTGACTTTTAAACCTTATATGTTACCTTATATGTTTCTTATTAATCACGATGTGTAAAGTTTCTTCTCACGGCATTTAAGTTCAGGTTAACTGGTTAAAGCTGTTCTGTTCAGCTGTATCAGAGCCATTCCCCCATAATATAATAAGGAACAATGACGGGGCTGACTATGATCTATTGAGTTTTTGAATTATAAAAGTGTTATTTATAAAATAGGCAGCGTTTCATTCGGACATTCCAGTCGCATTGAACTTTACAACTTTTAATATCTTAAAAATAAATTTAGTTTTATGCTCTTATCATCATGCATATTTATGTAAATAATAGACAAGTTTATAATGAGTAGCCTAGTTTATACTGTATGTTTCGTCCGTGAATAACATTGGTGTACGTTAAAAGAAACAAATGATGTTAGAGTTATTTAAAAGTGGGCTATGAAAAGGTGATCCTTTTAGACAATTAATATCAATTTAGAGCTTTTTACTGTTCTGCCTTTTCAAAAATACAATTCACAATATTACAAATGATAATAAGATAAGTAAGGGAAACAAAATTTTAGGCAGATCATTTAACTGGTTTTGCTTCTAATTCAAGTCTCTGGAACTATTACAATGAAAATCTGGCTTTTTGCTCAGTGATTTCAAAGTTTGATAAGTCACTAATAATTTTAATGAGTTCAATGTGGAACTGTAGGTATTTATCAATGCAGATGT